CTCTCTCTCTCTCTCTCTTAAAAAAAATGCACCATCTTGGAACCAGAGACCAAACCTGCTGTTTCCTCCATCCTTCCTTAGAAGGACCTGTGCACCCCTTCCAGTGGTATCCCTCCAAGACAAAATGTGTTTTCTGCTTCCTTCAGGTTCCCCATTGGATATCTATATATCAGTATTTATTCAGTTTCACAAACAATGTATAAAATATATCCCCTCTTTTATTGTAAAAATAAAAACCACAGTGACAGAATCCCATTGATGATGGCCTGCCCCCAGTGTGGCATCCCTCTAGCAGATAACTTCATAACCATTTGGGTGTCTTTTGGTTTAAGATCACAGAAATAAACTTTTGCTACATCTTTAACCATACATTGTATCATGTTTTATGTATTGTTGACTTCCATCACCTGATTTGTTATCTTGGAATATTTTTTTTCTTTGAAAAATTAGTTTCAATAGAAATATATGCTCCCATGGCACAATACGAAAAAGATGGAAACGACGAACAGGAAAAGCCTAGTTTCCCTCATTTGACAGAGGATGTCTCCAAAGGAGCCTCCGTATCCCTTAACTTAGGTTCTCTGGATACTTGTCGACGGCTGGCATAAATAGAAGTGCCACATTCTTCCTCACTGTTTGGAAGCCCTCAGAGAGAAAGGACCAGTGTGTTCCCTTCGCCACCAGCATTTCCAAAACTGCGCCCGCATCTTGTCGCGACGGGTCTCTGAGTCTTTACTGGGAGCAGCGTTCTGCGGCGGACACTGGGAACTGGTAGCGACAGTCCTGGGAGTGGAGGGGTATCTTTTGAGAAAGATGACATTAGTTGAGGGCAGAAGTCCAAGGGGGAAGGAGAAAGGAAAGGATCCCGCGTCAGGAGGACGTTGTGAGTTGGGTGGAGAGAGCCCCTGCGCGGAGTCAGACTGCGGGTCCCACTTGGCTTTTCGCTCCCTCGGGGCCTCCCGGATAGTGTGACCTCTTAGAGGCCTGTCAAGCTGGCCTAACTGGCCCTTCTGCCCCAAGAACACCTCGAACTTGGCTGGGAGCAGGGTGGAGGGAGATTGCCTTCAGTGGACTCTACGTCCGGCTCCTGTCCCTGGACACGTCTTACAACGGCTGGATCGCGGGGGAAACCTCATCTCGGACCCCAGCCCGCGCAGGCAACTGCCTCGACTTTGCGCCCTTTCTCCGAGGCCTGGGAAGGGCCCGCCGCCCACCTGCTACCTGGAGAGGAGGTTGGGGCTGGTGGGCGTTAGGGACATGGCCTTGGGCCTGTCCTTTTTTGCCCTCTCCTGAAGTCCCGCCAGCATCCTGGGGCGGGTGGCGCGGGGACGTGGTTAAAGGGTGTCACCTGCGTGGATAAGTAAGTGGGCGGAGTGACGCATCCGGGCGTAGGAGCAGCTTCCCCAGCGCCCTCGGCCCGGGAGCTTCCGGTGGCAAAGGCAGGCGCCGCCTCGGGAGACGCACGCCCTCGGACGCCCTCGCTTTCGCCGGGAGCCTCAGTCTCCCTATCTGCCAAGTGGGTGGGCAGCGACCCCCGCGTCTTAGACTTACTGTGGTCCTTTAGGGAAGCCCACCAGCCCTAGCCCTGCTCTCTTGCACCCACGCGCCCCCAGCCCCGGCTCTCCTGGTCGTGATGTAAGGTGGTGGGAGCGTGGGGCGCCCTGACCTCGATCCTCCCGAAACCCGGCAGGTGGGCGTTCAGCTGCCAGAGGCCTCCGCGTTCCCTCCCAGTTTGGAAAGTGCAGGTGTGGGGGGAAGCGGGGGAGGACCCGAGGCAAGGCCGACCCAAATCCAGCGCCGCCAGCTCCGGAACCAGAGCCAGGCTGGGCCCTCTCCAGAGCCGGACTCAGGTTAGGCCGCAAAGGTTTTTCGGAGGCGAGCGTGAGCTGGGCCGTAGAAAGTCGGAGTGGACCCGACCCCTCCGGGCGCTGGGCCACGCGGACACCGGCTAAAGGCCTGCTGCTCCGATGCCAGCTGCCTGCGGGGCTCGGCGGATTACCGCCTGAGTCTTCTCGCGGGATCCAGGGCCGCGCCAACCCCCGCGGGTCCTGGAGCCCTGGCTTGGCTTCCCGAGAACGCCTGTGTCCCCCTGGCTCCGCCGAGTTCTGACTCGCGCGGGTCCCGCGGGGCCAAGCCCAAGTTCAACACTGATCTCCAGCTCTGCGCCCACTGCGCAGGTGCTAAAAGTACCGCCGCCTGCCCCCCCCGCCCCTTTCATTAGGAGGGATGTGTCCTCTCCGCTCTTCTTTCCCCGTCAGACGCGAGACAGAGAGTCCTTTGCGTGTCTCTGGGACCTGGCCGGGAATTGCCTTCCTCTCCTAGGTCTTAGTGTGTCTGCAGCGCCCCCTGCAGTGCGTCTCCTGCACGGCAGCGCAGGACGCATTCCCAAATGGAGCTGTATCTAGAGGCCCCTTGCCTTACCTTTCTTCCACCAGGCCCACTTGGCCTCGCCTCTGGCTCTGTTTGCCTGGGGCCTCAGAGTTAGGCTTCTTAGAGAAAACAAGGAAAATGTAAAGCTTACTGAATTATAATATAAACACCCACATAACCATCATCCAGGCCAAGAAATAGTACTTTCCCAGGTACCCCATACTGCCCTTCTGCGTCCCATTCCAGTCCCAACTGCCCCCTGCTCCCCAAAATGCTCATGGTCTTCGGTTTTGCAATAATTATTTCCTTGGGTTCTTTATGGTTTTTATCACCCAGGTGTGACTCTCTAGATATTAAAGATTAGTCTTGCTCTTTTAATCCATAGGTTCCTTCTCTCTTTTTCTTATAACGCATCCATGGAAGAAGTTGAGTCATTTCTCTGTAAAGATTTTCAAGTCTGGATTTCTCTGATTGCATTTTCATGGTGCAGTACAATACACCCCTCTGTTCTCTGTATTTCCTGCAAGTTGAAAACTGGATCTGGAAGTTCTATCAGACCTTAGGTTCAAAGTTTTCAGTTAGACTCTAGGTTGTGGGATGCTCTTTTATAAGGAGATATGTAATGCAAAGTTCAATTTTTTTTGAGATTGTGTTAATGAACTTTCATTACTGTGACAATATACTTCAAATAGACAACTTAAAAACAGATTTATTTTGGCTCATGGTTTCAGTCTTCTGTCAGTTGGCCCATTGTTTTTGGGTCTGTGGCTAGGTAGTATATGATGGTAGGAGTACATATTGGAGGAAACTACTTACCTTATGGCTGTCAGGAAGCAAAAAGAGGAAGGGACAGGATTTCATTATCCCTTTTAAGGGCATACCCCCAGTGACCTAACTTCCTTGCACTAGCTTCACCTCTTAAAGGTTCCACCACCTTCCAGTAGTGTCACAGGCTGGTGACCAAGCTTCCAACACATGGGCCTTTGGGAGTCACTTATCTAAACCACAGCAGAGATGTTTAATGCTAACATTTGCTAATTCTTTGGGGGATGGAAATGGTAATGTTCTAATTATACCATTTCTTTTTTATTTATCAGATGGATAAATTTTGTAGAGATACTTCTCATCTATGTGGTCACTTAGTGGAACAGTTCATAGAGGAAATGCAGGATAAATGCTTGTTTCTTTGCATTTATTTATCCATTTTCAAGATAATGAATTGCTATCTGTTATCTTTCTAAGTTGATGAGCTAGTTGGGTATAGTGGTGCACACCTATAGTCCCAGTGACTTGGGAGGCTAAGGCAGGAGGATTGCAAGTTGAAAGACAGCCTAAGCAACTTAGAAAGGCCCTAAGCAACTCAACAAGACACTGTCTCTAATAAAATACAAAAAAGGTCTGGGGATGTAGCTCAATGTTTAAGTATCCCTGGGTTCAATCCCCAGTACCAGAAAAAAAAAGTTGATAAAGATTTAAATATATATGTTATATATTTAATATATAATAACATTTTAGTTATTATCATGATTGATTCTCCAACTCTCTCATTTTTGTCTAGTTGGAGTATCTTCAGGATAACTCTTGTCCTTTTGATGTGACCCCAGTTGTCTTTGAATGCTGCCTTGCTACCTGTTATGACAAGATGTTTCAAGTTCATCTTGTATATTTATTGCTCCACATTTAGATCAACTAATTCTCCAGGAAGACTTGGTTGTGACATGTGGAGGCAGGAATTAGGGATGAACACACACACACACAGATTGGTCCCTGGTGGGTTGTAGCCCTAGGAAACTTTATTGTCTAGGCTCTGGATGAGGAAGAAAATCCTTCTTTGAGGAAAAATAAACCCTAGGCCTGTGATGCTAGGTTGAGGACAAGAATTTTTTTTTTTTTTTTGGTAAAATATCCAGGAGCTTCATACAAGTTTTGTCTGATGTTGGTTCTGCAGTCACCTCACAGAAGCTAACATAAAACCACTGCAGAGATCCACTGCCATTACCCACATGTTTCAGAGTCCCACAGAGAATGCCCCATGGCAGGAAGCTGGCAGGGTTATACAGAGTGCTTGAAGTCTTCCAGGCTTGAAAGGAATAAGATCACCTTTCCCTCCCCTCCTCAAGAGTTTCTAAGACCAACTAGGGAACAAGAAACAGAAATACAGACTCAGTCTTCAATTAGATTAGGCATCAGCTAACATTCTGATCGACAAAAATTAGGTGGGAAGACTGCTAAAGGAAGCAAGGATTCAATTCAAAAGAGAAAGTGGAGACAAACTTGCAAGGAACTACAAAGCTGGCAAAGCACACAGCATCAATGCAAAGGGCACACTATTGAGTGTAAAATCAAATTCTCTTGAAAAAGTAGGAATCCAGACTGTGGACAGGACCTTCCCTGGAGTTGGTGTGGTTCCAAAAGGAGAGAAATTGAAGTCCAGTAAAGAAGTACACAGAGAGATGTCATATTTACAGGGAGCAGAACTGCTCTGTAGAGAAAAGAAGAAAGACTTTTGCTTCCAGGAGCCCTACAGCACTTCCCAGCTCCTCTTCATTGGCTCAGGGAAGGCAAAGACTAAAATAACTCTAGGTCTTAAAGTAATTTTGCCAGCTTGAAACATTCCCTACATAGGGTCCTGCAAAAAAATTGGTTCAACAAACATAACCCCTCCCCAAAGAAAACTGTAAATCAATCTCCCTATCCAAACAACACAAACATTCTAAATAAAATGTTAGGGATTTTAGCCACTGAAAATACAGCAATGAAAAAAAAAACCTTAATAGTTCTTAATTATGTCAGATGGTGATAACTTTTATGGAGAAAAATAAAACAGAGAAAGGATGGTAGAGAGTGGAGCCATTATAATTAAGGCAATAATTGAAGTCTATGTGCCAGGGGGAAAATGAAGGAAATGATATTGCAGAAGAATTTGGTCATGATCAGCTCCATAGAGCCTGAAAATGCATTTAAGAAAATTCAATATACTTTTAAAAAAATATTTAGTTTTTAGTTTTAGGTGGACATCTTTATTTTATTTTTATGTGGTGCTGAGGATCGAATCCAGTGCTTCATGCATGCTAGGTGAGTACTCTACCACTGAGCTACAACCCCAGCCCCTCAATATACTTTTATGATTAAAAAATAACACTTAGAAACTGGGAATATATAGAAATTTTTCCCTTTCTTTCTTTTTAAGAGATGGAGTCTTACTATGTTCCCCAGCATAGCTCTGAATTCCTGGGCTTCAGTGATCAGAGTCCAGTCCCTCCAAGTAAAAAAGAAATTTCTTTAGCAAAAACAAACAAACAAAAAATACCTCAACTCCAAACCAATAAGGATCCATAACCAAAACTTACCCTGAAGTAATTCATCATAAACAAACATCAGCAGTAACATAAATAGGAATTAGAATCCAAAAACTTTAGAAAATAGAACAATCTGATGACACTATAATATAAGTTTCTCTTTATTGGCTCAAGACCAAGGAGATTGCATTGAAACCATTAAATAATATTATAAAAAGGAACAGGAAAATTAGAAAAAAAGAAATTAGGTAAAAAGAACTGGAATTGGAAAGACAATGCCATTTATATAGGAGAACTCCACTCAATGGGTTAAATAGTGGATTAACTACATAGGAAGAAAGAATTTGTGAAATAGTACGTGGCAGAGAACATAACAGAAAACAAGAAAGGGAATAAATACAGAACGAAGTTTGGGTAAAAAAAGAGAATATAATATGCATCATGATTATAGGATGAAAAATCAGAAGGAATGGTGAAGAGGTGATTTTATTTTATTTTTTTTCTCTTTCTGGAACTGGGGGTTGGATCCAGGGCTTCATGAATGTTAGACAGGCATTCTACCACTAAGCTACCTCCCCAGCTTTGTGAAGAGGGAGGTCTTTAAAAATTTTTAGAATTATTGAAAGACATGCATCTCCAGATTCAGATTTTGAGCAGGAAAAATTAACTCAAACCTTTACTGTCCTAGTCAATTTGTGTTACTATAATAAAATACTTGATTCTGAATAATATGTGAAGAAAGAAATTTATGTAACTCAGTTCTGGAGGTTCAAGAGCATGGAGCTAGATTCTGCTTTGCTCTGGTGAGGGATTATGGCATCACAATGGTGGTAGCATATGAGGAAGAGGTAACAGGAAGCAAGAGGGAGAGCAGAAACAGGGGAATTTGCTTTATAACAACTCATTCTCTAGAGAATTCACTCCTTGAGACCAGCATTAATCCCTTCCAAGGGCAATTCCCCCAAGATGTAATACCTCCCTCTAGGCCCAGCCTCTTAAAGGTTCCACCATCTCAACACCACACTGGGTACCAAGCTTCAATCATGTGAACTTTGGTGGGCAACACATGCAAATCCTATCCAAACCACACCATTGACATATGGTACTGAAGCCTTAGAATATGAAAGACAAATAATAACTTAATTCACAACAGGGGAGTAAAGGTAGACTATACAAAAGAACAATTAAACAAGAGACTACAGCAACAATTAAGGGCAGAAAACCAGAAATAATATCTTCAGAGTGCAAGGGCTAAGCACAGAAATGTTCCAAATTTGTTTTAGTTTAATTCATCCTTTGGAAATAAGGACAAAATATTTTTAGGTAAGTAATTTCTAAGAGAATTTGCCACTTACAGGTCTCCCTGAGAGCATGAAAGGACATATTTAAGGAAGGAGTAAATTAAATATTTAAGGGGGAGGGGCTGGGGATGTGGCTCAAGTGGTAGCACGCTCTCGCCTGGCATGCATGCGGCCCGGGTTTGATCCTCAGCACCACATACAAAGATGTTGTGTTTTAAAAATAAACATTAAAAAAAATATTGAAGGGGGAATATAGTATGAGGAACATGGGGAAACGGGCCAGTACATGGCCAAGTCCAATAGGAGGGGTAGTAAAAATGACACTGACTAATTTAGAAGGCATAAAAATGAAGTGGAACTAGGGGCTGGGATTGTGGGAAAGACCCGGGTTTGAT